CTAGGTTTCAATCTTACATCTCTTCAATATATATATATATATATATATATTTCAATGGAAGGATTGGACTCAATACAAAAATAGGAGGTTACTAAAACGGTGGACGCACAAACTTGTAAGTGATTTTGGCGACAAAATTGGTCACTGCAGCTTGACATGCTTGCAAAGGCCAATTCCGTCATCATATAATACATCTTCGGCGACCAATTTATTGTGGACATGATTAAGCTTATACGGGTTTTACTAACTTCATGTATGGCGAGGTACAGGGAACAATTCTTCATATTTTTTCTGATTGTTTATGGGCTCATGATATATGACAGAAGTTCTATCTTCTTGCGTTTTATTAGGATTTTTTTCTCCTTTATGGGAGGACTGGTTTCATAGCAATGTTTTTACACTAATATTTCATGAACGCAACATCGTTTATTTATTCTTACATTATAGTCTACTTGGTGTGTTGGAAATCAAGAAGTTTTTCGAAGTTGATCCATTCTCTAACTGTGTTTTAGTTTTTGAGACCTCTTCATCTGCTAACTTGCTAGTCTCTCTGTGTTAGATTTCTTAGAAAGTGCTTTTGCAGGAGTCAGTTAAGTTTTAGCATGGATTTCAGCTGGCTCGGTTCACCTAATCGTAGTGGAATGGGTGGCTTTTTAATTTTTGCTACCGCCATAGTGAATGGAAGAAAAGTTTTTCAAGTTAGTTTGATCATTCATCTATAGTGTTGGCTGAGCTGGAAGCTGTTAGATAAAGACTCGTCCTCGCTTTCCTGATTACAGAATCAGTCCATGCTATTAGTAATGGAGCCTTGTCTACTCATTCTTATTGCAACATCATCTTTGATATTCATTGCTTATGTCAACATGAATGGATAATTTCTTTCGATTATATTTTGAGAGAAGGAAGCCGTGAAACTTATTTACTTATCGGAATTGGTTTTTCCATTAATGCGTTTCTCTAAGTTTGACATTTTTCTCCTCCGAACCTTGCTTATGTTCTTTCCAGTGGTGCAGCTGGAATTTTCTTTTTGAGATCCTACTGTCTCTTTTTCCACTTGTACCAGGAAAAAAAGACTAACCTGACTAGTTTAGTAACAAAAGAACCGTACTAGATTAAAAAATAAAAACTTATAATTGAATATAAAATCATTCTCTCTCCTCTTTCAGAGATCATAACTCTCGCTCTCCTTCTAGACACTCAATTCCCTCAGACATATCAATATGATAAATTAGCAGTTGAATTACGTACAATCTCTCATTTACTCTTCTCTTTCGATCTTTGACCCTTCTATCGCTCGCCAGTTGATCAGCATCTGGCAGCCACAAGCAGCGCCGGTCTTAACAAGTTAGTTCTAATTTCTTTTCTTAGTTGTTAGTTAAATAGCTTAGATATTGGAAACAATGAGGATTCTGATGCAATGTGAATTGAGAATTTGTAATTTTCAGAGTTTATAAGGTTTGGGTGTAGAGATTTTCTAATTGTTGGGGTTTACTGTTATGGTTCTACGGATTTTGAAGTAATTTGGGTTTAATTCGAATTAATTAGGGCTTAGATGTAATATCATTTCTCTAACTTTGTAATTTTTAGATCTTACAAGGTTTGGGTGTAGTGATTCTGTTACGTTAGGATTGCATGCAGTTCGGTTTAGGGATTTCTTTTCTATTTGTAGATTCATTATATATTTTCAATTACAATTGAGTATGATATTGTATTAGTAATTGAGATAGGGATTTGGGATAGGATTTATTGAAATTAAGGTTTTTTTTTTTCCCTATGAATCACTTGCAAATATGCTATGAAGGTCTCTGAGGAAAATCAACCTTATGTGTCCTTTCAGGCTCATAAAATTATTTGTCAATTGTCAGTTATCTAACTATAAGAAAGCAAAAGGTTGCAGCCTTGCAAAATTTTATGGGCACCTACAAATGGCAGAATAAGGATCTGTCATGTATTTAAATAAGCATTTCCACTTGCATTGTTATTGTCTCAAATTGTCGATAAGATGTTAATACAGATTAATTGATTTCAAATGTGTTCGTTCGCTGGAATTTCTAACGCTTGCAATGTTATTGTCTCAATTAGAGCTGCTTGTAACACAGGTTGGTAGAATCAGAAGTGAAGCATGATCAGAAAATGGGGAAAAAAAATTGAAAACAGAAGTGCAAATTCTGAAGTTTGCAGCACCGATCTGTTCTACAAATGCAAACTCTTCAGTGAAGGAACAACATAAGGAGAACGTTAGAAAGCTTATGGATGGTCAAGGTGATATATGCATGTATACAATGATAATTTTAGGTGATAACTCTATCCTCTCATATGAATTGAAAATGGTTGCTCGTATACGCATTGGTGGTACTGTCTACTTAAGAGATGCAGATATTCTTGTGCTATATTCCACATTTAACATTCAAGTTCCATGGTGAATTCCTAGTAGGCTCGAGGGTCATGCTAATTTTGACTCTACTGTTTTTTGAATTTTCAAGTTTGATGTCTCTAAGATGTCAATTAGCAGGCATGTTTCCAATTGCTAATTTATCCTAGCTTATTCTCACCACAGGCAGTAACTATGCAAAAAGAATATGGATTGTAGATGATAGCCGACCTTTAGATTCTGGATTTCATTGTAAGCAATGGTTGTCACATATTTGGGTCTGCTGCTTGATACAACGCAAGGATTTTGCCTATGAGAAGCTACGGTGGCAACCAAAAAATTGTCTAAGTGTATGAATATGAAGGGTCCAGATCCTTAGAAAGGTACTAATGCAGAGACTGTGGTTCATAAGGACAGTCCCCGAGAAATAGTGTACCACTTGTACCATATGTATGGCGTGATGAGAAGTACTGTACGGCTTGTGGCTCACGTTTTCTTCGCGTTGGATCCGTCAAAAGTATGTTTTTATGGCCTTAGAGTGTCAGATATTGATTGTTGAAAAAACATGTGCTTCTCCATTTTCGCGTTTATTGGATATTTTCGGGTCAATTTTGAGTCAGACTCAGTCCATGCTTGCATTATCACACGAAGGGATCGCTGCACTGGACTCAACACAATAATTAGAGAAATAGGGTACAGCTTTACCATATGAATGGCGTGACGAGAGTCTGGGGATAGAAGTGAGTAGTAGTTAAGATCTGTAATTTTTTATGTCCAACTACTGCCCTTTTCTGCCTCTGTCTTCTGAGCGCGTCCTCTCTCTGTCCCTAAACTGCAATTTAGTTTTAGTGATTTCATATGAACATGTTAAACTTGATTAAATTGTGCATCCTGAAACAAAGTGTCGAACATTTCCTAATTGGAAATAGTATAGGATGTTCTGTCTGGCCTATTAGCTACCTACATGCTGAACTTGACGCCTTTCCCCGGTTCAGAAAACTGGCCAAACTATAATGTCATAATCTCGTCGATATTTTTAATTTCGGGATTTCGTTTCTCTCTCTCTCTCTCTCTCTTCCTCCTCTTAGTTTTTAATACTTTATTGTTTGTGAATAACAGTATTGTAGTTCCCGTATTAATGCGCATGATCACTTTCATGGATTCATGTGGGAAGTGGAGAAAATGAACTTTGAGGTCAAGATGCATATGAGCAGAACTTTCTAAGGCATAATGCAATCTGAGAATGGGATCCCTCATCACTGGGGTTAATTGCATGGCACATGCGACTATTGAGGGGTTGGGAATAATGCACAACTTACCTTCACTTGGTTGCCATTCATATATATTTCTATGGTGTTGCAACTTTCACAACCTCTGTGATTATAGGTGTTTGACTAATGAACATGATGTTTTTTTGTAAGACTTAAATATTTTTATTTCTGACGTTGATGTTATTGAGTTCTGAACTTGGTTCAATTTGATGCAATTAATTGGAAATGCAAATTTCCATCAACCTATGAAATTCTACCTACTTATGTAAGGATTAAATGTAAAAGTATAATTATTTATTTATTCTATTTTGGGTTATTTGCTTATGAAAGAAATGAATAATATATTATTTTACCTTTAGCTATAGATAAGTTGAGATAACTTTTGAGTGAATGGGTGAAATTCATCGAGTGCTTTTGTACTATTTTTTATTTTAATTTTTTTAATCTAGATATAATGCAGATATAATGCAAATAATTGTGTATTACTTAAAATTGAAGCAAATTAGTTACTTCATTCAACTATTTTATTAATGGAATTGAATGTAAGAATTAGTTTGTCTTACTTTTGAATAATACAAGATTTGTTTTACATTATATTTAGAAAAAAATTAAAGTAGACTACTAGATAATTTAAGACTACATAGCGAATTTTACCAGACATCTTTGAATTTTGAAAGCAAAAAGTCTACTAACTGTCTAACTCTAGTTAGACAGATATTTACGGTCAACGGTCTTAGGTGATGAATATGGTCACCATAGTCCTGGTATTCATTGCAACAAAAATTTAGGAAGTGGTCATCAAAAGATATGGTGATGGGATATATGCAAAAAAAATATATATATGTATTGGTCGTGTCGTATTTTTGTTGCAGGGACTGTACGACGAAACTCTGGGCTTATGGCGACCAAATGTTTAGTCGTCAACTATGCTTATCTTTGTCTTGAATATAGATCTCTAATATGTATGTAGCTTTAAAAATATCTCTGTTCATAATGATAAAACTCTTATCTATTTTTAATTTTTGCTTTCGTATAAATAATTTGTTTTTTTCCTTTTTAATTATAAAGCAGAGATTCGAACACAATATTATGAATTGAAAGTCAAAGGTGTTACAAATATATACTTGTACAATTGAATCGAGATATAGCTTATTGAATTGAAAGTCAAAAGCATTACACATACTTGCACAATAAGAATATAATTGAAGAATCAAAACACAGATGATCATACAAAAAATTTAAATCTTTCAAACTTATTGCACACAGCAACATCAATGAAATTTATAATTTTTTTTTAAAAAAATAATGAATTTGAAACAAGCAAGTTGTGTATAGATTCATGATAGCTAATGATAAACTTAATATTCACGGTGGTAGCCTTGACCATGAGTAGAACCTTTAGGTTGTCGGCCTGATTCATAAGGAGAAGAAGGGCCACTAGGAGAACTCGTATGCGAACTACTACCGGAACCAACAGCGCCTAAAAGTCCATGAATTCGCGCATCATCCTCAATCGAAACCGTCACAGTTTCTTCTCCACTTTGTACTGTAGTAATGTTTTCTTGTTCTTCAATACAAACTAGAGCTGCTGGCTTCTTCTTCTTTTTCTTAGCCAAACAAACGAGACCAACCAAAAGGAATGCAAGGAAGAACACCCCACCAAGCGAAACACGCACGACAATGACCGTGGTATGATTGCCTCCTGGAGGTGGCGACACAACCTCTGACGATGGTGCCACTGGTCTAAAAGGAGGAGGTGCAACATAAACTGGTGGGGCTAAGCTAGGTTTAGGTGGTGGTGGCATATTGTATTGCGGTGGTGTAGCGTATGGAGGTAATTTAGGCGGTGAAACTGGACTGTTTAATGGGGTTGGAGGTGAAACGTAGTAACTTGGTGGTGTTGCGTGTGGGGGCTTGGGTGAAGTTGGCCTGTCATGAGAGGGCATCGGTGCTGGTTTTGGTGGTGGAACTGAACCAGGACCGTAGCTAGGCGGATTTGATGGTCTAGGTGGATTGGGCTTATAGGGAGAGGGCATTAGTGCTGGGCCTATAGGTGTTGGTTTTGGGGGTGGAACTGGACCAGGAGTGTGGCTTGGTGGATATGATGGATTAGGTGAAATGGGCAAGGGCATTGGTGCTGGGCTTGTAGGTGTTGGTTTTGGTGGTGGAACTAGACCAGGAGAATAGCTTGGTGGATATGAAGGTTTAGGTGGAGTGGAGGGAGACGGCATTGGTTCTGGGCCTGAAGGTGTTGGTGGAACAGAAGTGTGGCTTGGTGCATGTGATGGTTCAGGTGGAATGGGCTTGTATGGAGAGGGCATTGGTGTTGGTGCTGGGCTTGTAGCTGTTTGTTCTGGTGGTGGAGCTGGACTAGGAATATGGCTTGGTGGAGAAGAGGGCACAGGGGGAGCTGGCTTGGAGGGAGAGGGCATTGATGTTGGACTCGTGGGAGTTCGTTTAGGTGGTGGTGGTGGTGATGCATATGGCGGTAATTCTGGTGGTGGGGTTGGACTAGGAGTGTAGCTTGGTAGAGGTGATGAGGGTTTAGGTGGTGTTGGCTTATGGTAAGAGGTTGCTGAAGTTGGGGCAGTAGGCGTTAGTGTTGGTGGCTTTGAAGGTGTAGGGGTAGAGGGGGTTGGTGAAGGTGCAAAATGTTGAGGTGGTGGGCCGCTAATGGGTGTTAGAGGTGGGTGCGCGCAATCATATTGGCACGATGGCGACTGCGGAGGAGGAGGTGAAGGCTTAAGTTGAGGGTTTGGTGGAGGTGGAGGTGAATGGTAGTGGTGTTTAGGTGGAGGTGATGGCATTATAGGATTCCACGGTACATGTGAGGGTAGGGGTGGTGAAGGAGGTGGAGGAGAATAGTATGGATAAGCCATCTTTAGAGAATCAAGTGACATTTCTCGGTGACTGCACTAACTGGAATATTGAGATGGATAGGATACAAATGTAGATCGGTTCTATTTGTACCAACTGGAAGTTGGAACAATACGATCGCAGCCTTGGCCATGTTGCTCATGAAGTTTGCCGCATTCAAGACTTTACGATGAGCCGTCTTTGCATGATAAATCAAATGAATTTCATGTTTTGGAGTCCTAATTGAGGGGGCACTTACCATGCATCATTAAGATGTTGAATAAAGTTCCTTTTTTTTTTTTTTTCCTTTTTTAAAGCTTAAAAAGCATGTGATTAATAAAAATGTGGAAAAGTTCCATAGAGAAAAAATGTTTTTTTTTCCCTGTTTGATTTTTTTTTTTAGTCCTCCTAACGACATCGTATTATCCTCAAAATAATCCCAAGTTATAGACATATAATTATTATACGTCATAATATTAGAATTTACAATTTAGTTGTTCGATTAACGAAATGTCAAGTCAAAACATCTTAGATATCGAATTAGCTATCGGATATGATACATGAAATACAGTGTGAACTCTCTTGGTTGGATATTATCATTTTGAAATATGGAATAATAATATTCTTTGGAGTAGGTAAACCTTCACAAATCATATAATAGAAATTACAAATTGTACATTGTCTACTTTTGTTTGACAATTAGTATCTCTCTGTCGTTTCTCTATTCTTGTAAGGGCACAACAATATAGACATAGCCATCTTATCAAAATGCATTTTTCTTAGCGTATTGGAGTACAAAATAGAAAGAAACCAAAGAATTTCACTCAGTAATCGATTGTGATATAATCAGCCTTGTCACTGGCCATTTTGAATTAAGTGACTTGTAAATACTTAAGTTTTTTTATTTGTTTTATTGGTTAGGTATCTTAATGGTCGATTATGGCTCCTGTAATTTTCTAGGATGAGATCGACAAGTGGTATGTCATCATTCAAATGTGCATGCATTTCTTGGAGATTCCAAATTCAAGTCAAGCTTGCGGGCTTGAAATCTAAGGAAGTTAGGTGTGGAGCTATTTGTTAATTTGTCAAGCTGTGCAAAGGGTGTGGTTGTGCTACAATATTAGTGATAGCTCTCTGAAGAAATTTTACATTTTGGAAGTCACAAAAAATGAATACAATAAGAAACGAGCTATTTACTTGTATGGTTTAGTGCAACATGAATGTAAAGACAAATCACATATGTTTAATCATTATACAAGTAGAAACATCAAATGATGGTATTAATATATTTGAAAACTGTTTTTTTTTTTTTTTTTTTTATTAGAGATAGCAAGTTAAGAGTAAAGTCAAACTGCTATGGTTATGATTCAAAAGGCATTTCAGGGCCAGTCAGCCAGCTGCGGTTGGCGCCTTGGTGATGATAATATAGTCAATTAACTATACTGTAACAAATGCTTAAATTTTCCTCCAATTTTTAGGTTACCTTAAGGAGAAGTTATTTGCTTACACTGTAGCCATAGCCTTTCCCCTGTTCTTAAGAGTTCCCGTGTTCAAACAATTTTTAATGTAACTAAAAAGATTTTTAGTATATTATAAATTTTTCCCGCTAGTTTTGAGAAACAAATTAACTGATATTTTTGTTTCAAAATCTAATTATTTAGTTCATTTACTAATTTTGCTAATATTAAATTTAATATTATTTTATTTAAAAAAGTCTCATTAATCTTTCCACAATATCTATCTTTTGCTACTTAAAAAAAAAAAATTGAAAAGAACATAAAATAGATAAAAAAAAAAAAAAACAAAGACTAAATACTTAATTTTTTTAAAAAAAGTCTAATTAATATTTTTCTTAAAATTAGAGGGATTAATTTATAATTTACTCAAAAATTTTGCTTCAAGGATACCTTTAATTATATATATATATATATATATATATATATATATATATATATATATATATATATTGAGCAAGTCAGTTTAGTCTATTTATATAATCATTCAGAATTTCTTTCGATTTGATGTCTCGACCTTCTAATTAAGCTGACTCGAAAAATAACACGTTTGTTTCAAAAATAAAATAAAACCATTTCAAAAAGTGAAGGAATCTGTTTTGGAAATACATCAGATGGTATTGTAGAAAATGCCATTTTATTTTATTTTTAGTTCTTTTGTTAACAAAAGGAGGACTTGAATCTAAGACATTGCTTCTTCTCGCCTAAGAAAATACCACTAATATAAAGGTCCGTGGATAAATACCATGCTGTATAACAAAAATTTTCCACCTCAAATAAAGAGAATTAGCCATCTTCTCACGTTATACAACATATTAAACTAAATATGTTTATTTTAATTTGATAGCATATACTATAATATCGATCAATTAAAATATATTAAATTAAAGATAAAAAAATAAATTTTCATTTAATTTCATAATTTTTAATCAAAATTTTGTTAGAATAATTAAATATGCTCATGCATATAAGCGCAACGGAAATTAATAAAATACATACCTCCTGTCATGATTGATTAAGCTGCTCAAGATATTGCTAAAAGAAAACTAGAGTCTGCTAAGAGGAGAGAGAGCCTTTTAGTCTATGTCAATACTTTAGGGTTTTCCGTATTGATGGAAAACACAGACTTTACTTACTATTTATATGGTTAGACCAAAGACTCTTTTTTTAAACTAATTTTGCACCTCCATTCATCATGGATGTGCCTAGCCCACTACTAAAATCCATTGGGCTTTAAGTCTTTAAATAGTCATTTATAGATTTAAAACAAACATGACATATGGGCCACACTATAGAATATTTCTTACAAATTTTATATTTTAGTTATTCTTATTTATGTTTTTATAAATTTTATTATTAAAAAAACATGCTTTATTCTTCATCCCGCATTCATTTTTAAATAAAAACTTGTAATAATATAAATAGAAATTTTAAAAAACATCTTAACATTTTTTTCATAAGATTGCATTGAAGAAATCAAGAAACATCAATATAAAAACTGGTATAAAAATTAACTAACAAATCAATAAAACACATGAAATCTATTATTTAAAAAAAACTTATTCAAAAATTCATACATAAAGAAAATAAATCATATTTATTGAAAAATAAATTACATAAAAATAATTTAACGAAAATTTTCATAAGAAATGAAAAAATTTAAGAGATCGATTTTAAACAAGAAAAATAAATATAATTCAATATATATATGTTAATTCTAAAATCTAAAAACATAAAAGGCTAAAAATATTTTTTAAAACGTGAGAGACAAAAAAATCTTTAGTAAAAATTAAAGACGAAAATGAAATAAAGTGAAACCCTGAGGGAAAAAATATCTTTTAAAGATAATAAGAACCAAAATAAAATATAACGTCAAGTTTACATTTGAGTGCCCAAAAACAACCAAGAAATTACAAAAATACCACCATCCAAAATTATTAAAATTGCCACACATTGAATAGTGATTTGTAAGACTATAAATAGTAATTACTATTTATTTTCTTCATCTTTTTAGTTGTTTTTGTTAATATAGCAAGGCCAGCAGCAACTTGAAGGACCATTCTTTAGGAGTCATATTCCTAATCCTTCTTTGTTATTTTCCCCTCCAAAACGACTCTATAATGAGGTCCATGTTTTTACGCAGGGAAGTCTTGAAAATATACTATTAATTTACTTAATTTACAGAAGCTACTGTCTAAGGCTAACATCTATTACGGTTTAGTCGTCACTAGCAGGTTGCTCATGCTAAGATGAGAGTGTTTAAGAACAAAATCATTTTAATTTTTTTTTAATTTTTAATTTAATTAATTTTTTATTATGTTTTTTCTATAAATTTTTTACTTAAAAAACATAATTCATTCTTCTTTATGAATTTATTTTTAAATAAAAATTTATAATAATTTAAACCAAAATATTAATCAAGAATTAAAAGAAACTTTTAAAATATATTTTCATAAAATTGTATCCCAAAAGTGAAGTTATAATTAATTGATAGACTTATATAAAAAATAAAAAATAAAAAATGAAAAAAAATAATTTTTTATTCTTATTTAATACGGATGAGAAGATTAATTTTTAAAGTTACTCGCACTATGATGCAAGTTGAACGGAACAAAATTATTTTAAATTTTTATAATTTTTTCATTAAATTTTTTAAAGGTTTTTCATTAAATTTCTACCAAAAAAAAAAATCAAGATTTATTCTTCTTTATGCATTGATTCTTTTTTTAATAATTTAAACTAAAATATTAATCAAGAGTTCAAAAAAATACTTTAAAAATATATTTTTTTATAATAATGTATCCAAAAAATAAAGTTACAATTAATGTATAGGCTTGTATAAAAGTTAAATAATAAAAAATAAATTTTTATTCTTATTTAATGTTGATGAGAAGATTATTTTTTGAAAATATATGCATCTAATTGGTATATATATTCGATTATAAAAAACCATATTTGAATAATTGGATGATTCCTTTAAAGAAAAGATCAATTATTTTATTTCAAAGAAATTGGTTCTATAATGTTAAAAAAAAAATATTCATAGCAAATAATTAGTGTTACGAGTGTGAAGATGTATAGTTATTTTTTAATAAAATCGATGATTTAATAGTTTTTTATACGTCTTAACCATGCCTAATGAATTGATACAAATTATCTCAAATATATTTTTAACTTTTTATATTAAAATAATTATATTTATATTTATGCACCTATCATTTAAAATTATAAGAATTCATGATATATATTATATCAATTCATTTAAAAAAATCATGTTTTAAATTTTTATTGTAAAATTCAAATATATGAAAAAATAAATCATATTTATCAATAAATAAAATTTTCTTAAAAAATATTAATTGAATGAGAATTTTTATAAAAAAAATGATAAATTCAAAGAATAAATTTTAAATTATATATATATATATATATATATATATATATATATATATATATTATTGATCGCTATGCTGAGTGAAAGCATGCAAATAATAACATTCCATGTTGCATATTTTTTGCCAAAAAATTAT